GATAGATAGATTGATTGTTTTTTTTACGGTTTATCAACCCTTTGCAGGTTATTTAAAGCCATAAATTATTTTTAAGTTGTAAGAATTTAAAAAAGAAATAATGATGATTTAGTAATACAAGCCTTACAACTTAACTCACAACTGGAGGAGAAAATGTGGTTTCATGCCTTACCCAACGGACTGTGAACAATAAGTGTATATAACGAACACAACTGGTGAAGGAATTTTCTTTCCGTGCCATTATCCATTACATCAACAACACATCCAAGCGGTCACCAATCTAGGTACTGATCAGTTTCAACGTTGCTTAACTTCGGTGATTGCGCGGTGACTGGTGTTTCAGCGTGATATGAACATAAGCCATTTATACCACCTACATATCCAAGCTTATAGTGTTCTAAAGCGGTCACCCATCTTGGTACTGACCAGATTCGAGTTTGCTTAACTTCGTGATTATATTGGAACAGTTCTTTCAATATGATATGCCTGTATGCGCTTTATACAACCAACTCATCCAAGCATATAGTACCCGATATTCCAAAGTTGTCACCCATCTAGATACTGTGCAGTCTCGACGTTGCTTAACGGAGGAGAAATACATTGAAAATACTTTCAAGTTACTACAATACCCTAATTATTTCATATTCAACGCGAGACTGAAAGCTCGTAAAATAAAATATTTCAAAATAAAGGAGTGTGTCATTTCGACAAAATCAAAATATATTATTCCACCTACCAACTCCATCACAACTTGAAAATAATTTATCTAAGCTTACCATAAAATATGCTACAAATACTTTTAAAACAATAAATAACTTAATGCAACATAAAACAAAATAATAAGCTAAAACCTCAAGGAGAAATTTACTCTATCACCTGTAGTAATTGCTACAAAGAATATATTGGAGAAACCTCAAGGAATTTCAACAAAATATTATATGAATACAAAAGACATCTTTTACAAAACAATACACTCAGTCCATTAGTTGCTCATCATTGAGTCCGGAAATAATTTTGCTTTAAAAAAATGGGATTTTAATTAAGAGAGAAAACAGTTTACTAAGACGAAAGTATATAGAAAGTGCTTTAATCGCTAGAACATCCACAGTAAATTTAATCTTTCTTAACAAATCGTCTATTATCATAATGTGGAGTACTTAATAATAAAACTGATAATGACATAGACAAAAGTATAAAGAAACAAAATGGCGAGAGCACATATCCAGAGGCATTCATAAAAAATTAAATTTAGAAATGTTACACTTTTCTGTCCCCTGTTAATACACTTCCCAAATATTTAAACACTTGCTCTTTTTTTTTTTGGCTAACTTCCAGATTTACACTGTCCCAGTATATTCTCAGCATCTCCCTGTAGATCCACATTTCCGTTGCTTCAAGTCTCTTCTTCATCTTTGAGGAGATTGTCCAGCATTCACTGCCATATAGGAGGACAGATATCACGTAACAGTTCAGTACTCTTTTCTTTGTTTCTCACGTAACAGTTCAGTACTCTTTTCTTTTGTTTCTTTTCAAGTCTCTTCTTCATCTTTGGGGAGATTGTCCAGCATTCAGTGCCATATAGGAGGACAGATATCACGTAACAGTTCAATACACTTTTCTTTGTTTCTCTTGCTTCAAGTCTCTTCTTCATCTTTGGGGAGATTGTCCAGCATTCACTGCCATATAGGAGGACAGATATCACGTAACAGTTCAGTACAAGTCTCTTTTTCTTTTTGTTTCTCATATGATTTAACAGTCTCTTGCTTCAAGTTTTTTCATCTTTGAGTAGATTGTCCAGCATTCACTGCCATATAGGAGGACAGATATCACGTAACAGTTCAGTACTCTTTTCTTTGTTTCTCTTGCTTCAAGTCTCTTCTTCATCTTTGAGGAGATTGTCCAGCATTCACTGCCATATAGGAGGACAGATATCACGTAACAGTTCAGTACACATTTCTTTGTTTCTATTGCTTCAAGTCTCTTCTTCAGCTTTGAGGAGATTGTCCAGCATTCACTGCCATACAGGAGGTCAGATATCACGTAACAGTTCAGTACTTTCTTTGTTTCTCTTTTTTTTTGGTTTCTAACAGTATTTTTTGTTTCATAATACTTTGCTCAGCTTTTAGAAGGCATCTTTCGTGGTTCCAAGTTCGCGCCTTTGTTTTCGGTTTTTCTTCTCTTTGAGGAGATTGTCCGTCCTATAGGAGGACTGTTCACGTAACAGTTCAGTAGACTTTTTCTTTGTTTCTCTTCTGTGGATAATTATGTTGTTGCAGCAAAACCTTGCTTCAAGTCTCTTCTTCATCTTTGGGGAAAGCATTCCCTAGTCAACAGTTCAATGTTTCTTTGCGGGCCGCATACTTTGTTATTATTGTACTGTTAGTGTCAGCTCGTTAATCGTGCATGACTGTTTCTAACACATCACAACGTAGAAAAGACTGTCTTGTAAAATTCAATAAATCATAAATCAAACTAGAGATGCTGGAAAAATGGTCAGGTCATTGTCTCTTCTTCCATCTTACCACATTCAGTAGGATACCTGTTCAGTAGATTTTCTTTGTTTCCAAGTCTCTTCTTATCTTTCTATTTTTACAAGAGTTAGATCAGACCAGAAATTGAGAATTGCTGCCATAACTCTTGCTGCCATAACCTCGCGGTAGTTTTTTGAACTGTTATCAAGACGAAAATAGAAGGAGAATAGCCTTATTCACATGTAAAATAAGATTAGGAGGAAAAAATGGAATCCTCTTTGGGGAGATTGTCCAACCAAAAAAGAAAAAAGCCAATAACATAACTTATAAAGTCAGTAACGTTATCTTTGAAATGGCCACAATAGGGAGGACAGATATCACTGACCTTTGTGTTCCAGCATTCACTGAAAATAAAACATTCATCAATAACTTTAGGCACAAATATAAAAAAAAGTCTCTTCTTTTTTTCCCACATTCAGTTAAAATGTAAAAAAAAACAGTTCAAAATCAAGTCTCTTCTTCATCTTTGGGAGATTGTCCAGCTTTCAGTGCCAATGGCTAAAATACTCTTTTCTTTGTTTGTGCTTCTAAGTCTCTTCTTCATCTTTGAGGGAAACCTGCCATATAGGAGGACAGATATAGAACAGTTTGAACTCTTTTTCTTTGTTTCCATTCAAAACTTTTTGGGGAGATTGTCCAGCATTCACTGCCATATCTAGAAAAAACAGTTCACTTGTTCAAAAAAATTATTGTCCAGCATTCATTAAATAAAAATGAAATATTAAAGTTAACAGCTTCTTTTTGTCTATTGCTTCAAGTCGTTTTAAGGAGAAATTCTTGTATAAAAGTTTCTAAAGGACTTTTGCTGAACATCTTTCGTGGTTACACAGCATATATATATATATATATATATATATATATATATATATATATATATTAGTGGTAAATATACATACGTATGCAAAAATATATCAAAATACCTATACATGTATATATTTTTAGAATAAAATTCCAAGCCATAAGGTTTTTGAACTGTTATCAAGACGAAAAAGAAGGAGAATAGGTAGTAAAATAAGATTAAAAATAATGTCCCGAAACCAAAAAAAAAAAAAAGCCCTTTTGAATAAAGTAGGTAACTGATGCCACAAATTGACCGTGGAAAAATAAAACATTCATATAACTTTAGGCACAAATATAAAAAAAAGCCCACACATTCAGTTAAAAATGTAAAAAAAAAATGGAATAAATTAAAATGAAACCTGGCATGTAGAATTTTGAACAGCCATTAAAGTGTTTAAAAAAAAAAACACTTGTACGAAAAAATTTTATTAAATATTTATTAAATATTTTGCTGAACAAATATATATATATATATATATATATATATATATATATATATATATATATATATATATATATATATATATTAGTTAAAAACAAAATATGCTTGTAGAATTTAGAATAAAAATTCAAGAAAAACGCTTCTTTTGATACTGATGAATTGGAGATCGATTTGAACAATATTAGTGTTTAAGCCTTTTTATTATATTTAATTTTATTATATATATATATATATATATATATATATATATATATATATATTCTGTTACTTGAGAATGCAAAAAATAATTTGAACAATTTAAAAACTCTATGTCCAGTGTGTGTGTGTGTGTGTGTGTGTGTGTGTGTGTGTGTGTGTGTGTGTGTGTGTGTGCTCACATGGATACATTCATGAAGACAGATGCTATGAAATATGCATTTATTTCCAGATAGATAGATAGATAGATAGGATGGAATGATTTTGATAATGAATAGATAGGTAGATAAATAGATAGATATAATGGGAAGACTTAGATAGATAGATAGATAGATAGATAGATAGATAATGAACAAACCGCGATAGATAGATAGATAGATAGATAGATAGATAGATAGATAGATAGATAGATAGATAGAGAATGATAGCCAAAATTCAATACATTTATATTGTGTACTTATTTTTCCGCGGATTGTTTTGCGTTTTTACTTTTTTATTCTGTCATTTTCTCGCGGATGAAGAAGCGACTTGAAGTAACAGCGATACGATTCTACAGAAGGATGCTGAGAATTACCCGAGCCTGCGAGTAACAAGGTTGTAAGCAAAATGGAAGCAAAATTATACTTTTATACTTAATAGCAGAAAGGTAGTTGAAATTTCTCGGAAAGAATGAGGAAAGACGGCTTGGAGAATTTAACCCTCACAAGACATAATGAAGGCAAGTGAAGCAGGGAGTAACACCTAGTAATCTACCGAATGCGTTTATGTAGATAGCAGAGCGGGCACGAGTATTTTAATGAGATAAACGTTGTCTAGAGCTATAAAAGGGAGGAAGCAGTGGAGGGCTATGTTCGCCCCTGACCTGATAGGAAATGATCGTAAATCGTAAAAGATTAGGCATATTTATATTAATTGATTAAGGTTTCAACAATTTTTTTTTAATCAATTCACCACAAAATAAGGCGATAACGCCCCTAAGACGCAAGGTGGTG